ATAAACAGGAACTGCATAGCTGAAGGATAGCCACAAACCATCACTGAGATGATGTGTGCAACCTGTAATTAAGGGTCTGATTATTCACCTTGGATAAATAATGGATCTATAATGGGTTTATCATGGATAAATAATAAATGAATCTCCCAGACCTGCCCACTGCACACCCAAAGGTTTCTGGCTTCGTGGCATTTTGAGACCATTTAAGAGACCWAATTCTGCCCTTTGGGGCATTCACCCAAGCCAAAACAGAAAGACAAGGAAAACACACATCAGACAATCCTGCTGCTCCTCTAAACCACTTGGAAGGAATTTGGGTGGAGCTTGCAAGCCTGTAGTGACCTGTGCCATGCAGCCTCTCACAGGGATGTCACACAGTCCTCCTCAGTGCCATGGTCTGGGTGACAAGGTGGTGTCGGGTCATAGATTGGACTCAGGGATCTCGAAGGTTTTTGCCAATCTCATTAATTCTGGGGACTCTGGGATTCTTGGAGTGCCTGTCTTTCCTATAATTCTTGCCCTTCTCCCTCATTCCCATTCTGTTCCCTTCAGTCCAGGTGCTGCCCAGTGCCACAGCACAGGGTAAAATTCTCCTCCCCAGTCTGGTTGTAGCTGCTCTGGGCAGATGCTGAGCCTCCCCTGGCAGCCATTCCCGATTCCAACCCAATTATCGGGATCGAGGGTTGGTGCCAGCTCTGCCTGGCAGCAGCTCTCATTCAGCTCCCARTTTATTCCTCCAAGGAGTGATATTTCTGCTAGGGATGGGCAGGCACATTTCGTTTAATTTCAGCTCCACCTGAGCACCGTGGGTGAGATGCGAGAGGATCCTGCTGGCAAAAGGTTGTGAAAAAACATGGGAAGAGAGGAGTCAGCAGGAGRATGGAATGAGCACGAGAGGGAACCGAATATAAAAATGTCCAGCTTCAATTTCCAACCAATTTCAGCTAATTATTGRATATACTGATGAAGATGTAAAAAAAGCAGTTGGTTAAACAGAAAATCTGAAAGATGGGAGCAAAGTGCTCCCAAACAGGCAACTGGAAAATGTTGTGCCCTGCAGCCCTCAAATCGTGGAGAARTGAGCTCTGCTGGGAAGAGCAGGTCAGTTCCAGGGTGATAAATGGGCTGTTCCC